CAAAAAGTAGTAATGAATAATCATCAAAACAAAAAAGCCATTCCAGAAACTTGTGAATATGGATAATTCGAATTAATCAAGTGTCAAGAGCAATATGCATAAAATTGATGTGTGAATATATGAAGCTTTGTACAGGTGAAAAAAAATAAAGAGGATTATGCTATAGGAGATATAGAATACTCACTTGACCTCATTATGGAATTCTACTGCGCTGAGAGAATTAGAACTAGCAAACACTCGCTGGATTGCCTTCTGATAATCTGCATAAATCTGTACACGAGGTACACTAGAGAGGCTGTGAAAAACGTAGTTAGAACGCAGCCAACGGGAACAGAACTCCTGACGAGCCTCAGAAGTAAGACTAATAGTCGCTCCACTTAATCTAGCCGGTGACCCATCTGCAGAAAGCGAGAAGAACCGCTTGTGAGTTACTGGAGACGAGGAAGAGGAAGAACCTTGCTGAGGGAGTAAATGAGGTTGGCTCGCAATGCCATTTGTCTGTACACAGTTATCGGATGAGATGACTGCTTGAGAGAAAACTGGTGGAAGGGTCGATTGGTCTATCATTTGGGAGTTTGTGGGTAGGCGAGGGCAAGGAAGTCCAGGCTTGACAATTAGGCTGACGGAAGCTGATGGGGTGCTGGGAGTTAGCACTTGAGCAAAGATAGCTTGGTTTGCAATAGGAGGACAGCCAGTGGTTGAACGGATCTGCAAGAGTTGACCGGGAGAACAAGATAGGGTGATTGCAGATGGCTTTGCGTGAATAGACTGAAAAGAAATACAATAATGCTTTAAATTGGTCGTTTCTAGTGGCAATGCACGTTTGTGTAAGCATTCGAGAGGCTTTGGAGTCTGTGAAATATGTATTCATGAGATAATACACATAACAATCCACCATGGTAAACAAAATAGGAGAGTAAACAGAGAACATAATAAATATTTCCCCGCAATTAAAGCATCTAATACTTACTCCGAGATTTTGTGGTAACATTCTCTGTACAGTAGACAGTAGTTGAGTTGATAGAGGAGACACGAAAGAAGATTGTAGTCCTGATTGTGCTGGCTGTATATGGTATACATGTTGACCAGAAGAGACCAAACCGGTGACAAATGAGGCAGAAACAGCAGTTGTAGTTTGGCTGTTGCTAGGTGTGACGATAGAGACAGACGCAGATTCCGAATCAGATTCCAATGGAGCAAAGAGTGAGGAAGATGAGGTTACAGCCGTGATGACGTGGCCCGGTGTGAGGGACGCGCTTGCCGACGGAGTTGAGACGGTGGATAGGCCCGGCGAATGTGGTAAAGTAGGAAGATACAGTGAAGACAACCTCCTTGTAACAGGGACTAGTGGAGGAATCGACATTTTTGTAGATGATTTTAGTGTATCACCGGAGCCAGCAGGCACGGAAGGCTTAGAAGACTCACGGGAGATAAGGCTATTTTTTGAAGTAGGGACAATGGGAATTGGTGCCCTAGATGCAGCTGTAGCGCCAAGTAGACTGGATGAGCCATGAGCTTGCATAACACGGACTCGGATCAAGCTATCCGACCCCATAGCCTGAGCTTCACGTGTTAACATTGAAAAGAGAGAAGCAAGCACTGTGTCCGGTTCATGCAAACCAACGCGGGTCTGAAATTGCGAAGTAGAATCCGAGGTAGTTTTCCGCAAAAGAGAGTGGCATACTTTAGATCCGAGACAGGAAAGGGTGTAAAGAGTATCCATAGCTAGCACAACAAGATGCATATCACGAAGATAAAGAATGCTAGTAATAGTTGAAAATACAGAAGACGGTAGAGATGACAGAAATGTAGCATAATCTTGCATGCCAGAATGTGTCACTTCAGAACATGAAGGTCGAAGACTTGATAAAGTAGTAGAAAGAGGGGTCTCACAGAGAGATTTCATCATTTGTAGACCTGAAAATTAAACAATGAATCGTAAAGAGACTTTCAAGCATTAAATTAAAAGTATGAAGAGAAACGTACCGCGCATGAGCATAGATCTGTCATCACTGCCAATCAAGTTGAGAAACAAATCTCTCAAAACAGATCCCATGCTGTGGAAAAGGGGAACTCGAAGCAAAGATAACGTTTCCAGAGCTAAGTGCTGGAGACCACTATGATTAGCATAGGCACAGAGGAAAATGAATCGCAACGCCTGCTTGTGCTCGCCAATAAGAAATGAATTGGACACACCAGTGCTCTCATCAACAAGTTCACCATCCAGTTCAACAATATGATGGAGAGTAGAACTGCTATCAACTACCAAATTGCGGAGGACTGTAGCCACTAGATGCACTCTATAGCCCTCACGATCACCATAAGCTAAATCATCAGAAACATTGTACATGTCATAGCTAAGCTGGCTCCATAGCTCTGAATTACCTCGAACTGAAAAGAAAAGTAAAAAATAGTTTGAATAATAAAAAAAAGGGCACAAAGCGAAGGAGGACTCACATTCCTCAAATATGTTTGGAGAAAGAAAAATTCGACCGTCAATGTCCGTAATGAGCTCATTCCAAAACTAAAGTAATTAAGCATAGATAAATTATGAAATGTTACCCTTAAAAAACGTTGATAGCGACTTGCCTCCCAACCTCCAATAGTGTTTGGATAGGAACCGGGTGCTAAAGGTGAACGAATAATCAT